GTTTCAGTCAGTCCCAGTCAGTCCCAGTCAGCCCCAGTCAATCCCAGTCAGTCCCAGTCAGTCCCAGTCAGTCCCAGTCAGCCCCAGTCAGTCTGAGTCAGTCCGAGTCAGTCCCAGTCAGTCCGAGTCAGTCCGAGTCAGTCCCAGTCAGTCTGAGTCAGTCCCAGTCAGTCCCAGTCAGTCCCAGTCAGCCCAATCTCTGTGCTTTTCCTCATATACTCTGAGGAATTGTCAGTCTAGTTTTTTACCGTTGGACTTGTTGTCTTTCAACGTGTCTCTCCGTGTCTCTGTTTTTCTGCCTCTCTAACCCCCCCCCCCCCCATCTGTCCTTCCCTTTGATCTTCCAGACTCTGGATGATCTGGAGCAGAGGGTGAAGGAGGCGGGCATAGAGATCAGCGTTCGTCAGAGCTTCCTCACCGACCCGGCTGTCGCTGTCAAGAACCTGAAGGTGCTTTGATTAAGAATTCAGGCCGTCTCCTTCCTCCCCCGCCTCACAGCTGCACGCCACGCCATTAGCATGGAGGCCATTTAACGCAGGAAATGAATTCACCTGCTAATGATGGAACAGCAGTCTGCCATCCTGTCAGGCAGCGGGACTTTGGCGCATTGTGCTGTCACATCAAACGGTGATGTTGTGAAGTCAGATTGTCTCTGCTGATGTCACTAAGCGATGCTTTCTGCTGGTTTCATGCAGCGCCAGGATGCCAGGATCATTGTGGGGCTCTTTTATGAAACAGAAGCCAGGAAGGTGTTCTGTGAGGTCCGTATATAGATCTGCAGGATCCAGAGCTGCTGCTCCGAGCTGAGATGGGAGTCAATCCTCTCCTCCTTCCTGCTGCAGGTGTTCAAAGAGAAGCTCTACGGGAAGAAATATGTCTGGTTCCTGATTGGCTGGTACGCCGACAACTGGTTCAAGATCAAAGACCCTGCCATCAACTGCACGGTGGAGAACATGACGGAGGCCGTGGAGGGACACGTGACCACCGAGATCGTTATGTTGAATCCTGAGACTGTTCGCGGCGTCTCCAACATGGTGAGAGCTCCGCCTTTCTTTCTAATGTTCGGTTCACAGTGAGAATAATCCAGTCTGCCCAGATTATTCAACCTACCGCACACCCCCTCCCTCTGGCATTTACTGGAAAAGATGAAAAGATGAGGGAAATTATCAGCTAGATTCATTTAAAGAACATGGAGCAAAACGTTTCCAGCTCCAAAAATGAAACCAACTTCCACCTGGAAGCTTCTTAACCAAAGAAATCAGAAATAAACCTTAAACACGAAGCTCTGGTCAAAGAATGATTTATCTCCGTTAGCAGCAGGTTAAAGGTGAACAGGTGGGACTGCTTGATGGGCTGAAGGAGAAGATGTCTTAATATGACGTCTGTCCAAGCAAACCACAGCATGCTGACAGCTGTGAAGCAAAGAGGTGGAGGATGATGATGAGGGCTTCATGTTTAGACCCAGTTTACTCAGCGGGGGTTTTTAACAGCAGTAAATGTTTCTAGTTTCTGTGACTCATGAAAACCAGGGTTCAAACCAACACCATGTAGCATAGCACCGAATTTCACTCCTTTCCTTTTTCTGTTGTTGCCATGCCAACATACATTTCATTTTAATCTCATCATGTGTGAACAGAAACAGGAAGAAATCCAGTTTTCAGTGAATATCTGTATAAACAGGATCCAAGTGGACCATGGAGGTCTCAGTAGGCTTAGCAACCGACTGTGGCTGCAAATTAGACCAGAACCAGAACCAATGAAACCAGAACCAATGAAACCAGAACCACTGAAACCAGACCCAATGAAACCAGACCCAATGAAACCAGACCCAATGAGACCAGACCCACTGAGACCAGAACCAATGAA